AACTTTAACAGTCACATAAAATCAATAAATCTGCAGCCTTTTACATCTAAAAAACCTACAAACATCAAAGGTTTACGTTAAATCAGACTTGAGAAACTTTACATCATTTGTCTCCAGTAGGTTAGATACGTAATGTTCTGCTCACTGGCTCTCCAAACGAGCTGTGAGGCCCGAAATCGAACATCCAGACATCCAGAACATCCAGAACGCTCAGTTCGGTCTTACTCAACTAGGAAGTACGAGCACATAAGTCCTGTCTCAGGTCTCTGTTCTGGCCTGTGGCTCAGAGACTTTAAAGCGTCTCTGTTTGACAAGTGTCTCCATGGCCGTGCACCAAAGTACATCTGTGACTGTTAGTGTATTATGAACATCTCGCACTCTGAGGAGCTAGGGACCAACTCCTGCTGGTGCCAGAGCACGACTAAACAAGGGAGTCGAGTTTCAGGTTCAGCAGCTTAACCTGGAACAGTCTGAACATGTGAGACAGACTCTTCTGTGACGCTGTTTAATCCAGACTCTAAACATTTCTGTTTAACTGTGCAAATAACTGAAGGTTTTCATTCCGCACTCTTCTCCAATTTATGTCTCTCTTTTTTAATTTTATTCTTCATGATATTTATGTTTGATTTTGTTTTTATTTGATTTTAAGGTATTTCTTATCTGTAAAACACTTTGAATACTTTGTGTACGATTGTGTGTACAAAAACTTGGCCTTTGGTTTTTGTGTGTGTGTGTATGTGTGTGTGGTGGTGTATGTGTGTGTGTGTATGTGTGTGTGTGTATGTGTGTGTGTGTATGTGTGTGTGTGTGTATGTGTGTGTGTGTGTGTGTGTGTGTGTGTGTGTGTGTGTGTGTATGTGTGTGTGTGTGTGTGTGTGTGTGTATGTGTGTGTGTGTGTGTGTGTGTATGTGTGTGTGTGTGTATGTGTGTGTGTGTATGTGTGTGTGTGTGTGTGTATGTGTGTGTGTGTGTGTGTGTGTTGTGTGTGTGTGTGTGTGTGTGTGTGTGTGTGTGGTGTGTGTGTGTGTGTGTGTGTGTGTGTGTGTGTGTGTGTATGTGTGTGTGTGTGTGTGTGTGTGTGTGTATGTGTGTGTGTGTGTGTGTGTGTGTGTGTGTGTGTGTGTGTGTGTGTGTGTGTGTGTGTGTATGTGTGTGTGTGTGTGTGTGTGTGTGTATGTGTGTGTGTATGTATATGTGTGTGTGTGTGTATGTATGTGTGTGTGTGTATGTGTGTGTGTGTGTGTGTGTATGTATGTGTGTGTGTGTGTGTGTGTGTGTGTGTGTGTGTGTATGTGTGTGTGTGTGTGTGTGTGTATATGTGTGTGTGTGTGTATGTGTGTGTGTATGTATGTGTGTGTGTGTGTGTGTGTGTGTGTGTGTATGTGTGTGTGTATGTGTGTGTGTGTGTGTGTGTGTGTGTGTGTGTGTGTGTGTGTATGTGTGTGTGTGTGTGTGTGTATGTGTGTGTGTGTGTGTTGTTGTGTGGTGTGTGTGTGTGTTGTGTGTGTGTATGTGTGTGTGTATGTGTGTGTGTGTGTGTGTGTGTGTTGTGTGTGTGTGTGTGTGTGTGTGTGTGTGTGTGTGTGCATGTGTGTGTTGTGTGTGGTGTTGTTCTCACGTGGTCAGGTTTTCTGTCTCGTTTTCTTCTCTCGTCTGTGAGTTTGTTTCAGAGTTTTGTCTCTGTCAGAAAAAACAAACAAAGAACAAAACTCACACAGATGTAATCCAGAAAATTTAATCCAGATTTTTAATCCAGATTTAAACCAGATTTAATCCAGATTTAACCAGATTTAAACCAGATTTAATCCAGATTTAATCCAGATTTAAATCCAGATTGAATCCAGATTGAATCCAGAAACGGGATCTTGGACTGACCTTGGAGCAGAGGGATTTGTGTTTGCAGGATTCTCACTCGACTCCATTTTGTCCAAACACCTGAAAAACAAACACAGATTTAAAATGACACGTTTACTAAAGATCAGGTCCATTTTATTGTCCCCACAGAGACGTCTGCGTTTGACCCGTCCTCATGTCTCTGCTTAAACCTGCGTTTGACCCGTCCTCAAGGAAGTGTATAAAGACACAGTGGAAGTACTCAGTACTTCAGTAAAAGTACAAATACAGGAGCAAAAATACTCCAGGAAAGACAAGAAACTACTGTAGCGTCCAAATGCACCTCCGGCCTCTGTGTGGCGCTATGTCTTTATCCTGTGTCTTTGTTTTCTGTGGGTTGCTGCTTATTTAAGATCATTAATGAGCAATGGAAGGTGTTGCAAATTGATGGTCCTTGCTCCCTTTCCCTCAGTGATGTGCTCACCTGTGTGCCTCATATTTACACTGTATTTCCCCAAACTAGATTTGGGGTGGTGTTGTTGCAGTAACTCATTATAAAACTTAACATTTCTCGGAGCGTTAACCCCTCGGTGGCCACACCTGAAAACAACATGAAAAACCTGACAGACGTTTTTAAATCTTGGTCAGATCAGAGAAATGTTCTGT